AATATGAACATTATTGTCCAGTATCATTAACATTACGTAATGAACTTCTTGATTGTTCATCTACAACGAGAACTGATTATGTTGCCGAATATCGAGGTAAATAGAAATGTTCTTTGAACATAAAAAAAAGAAATACTTGATAAACTCTTTTCAATATAATCTACTCAATGCTCGAAACACTTGTACATAGGAACAGTGATTTATCTACTGTGGGCGCCGCCCATCCGAAATTTTGACTCGCCCACTCGGGAAACGAAACATAGATAAAACACTGAGCATTGCATTATTGGTGTTAAGTTATTTTTAATAGCTCTGAACTTATTAAACATAAATAAATTTTTTTTTTGTATAGGACGATATTATCGTATGGCTGGACCAAAAGAACTTCAACAATTTTTGGATGATTCTGAACATTTTGCTCCAAGTGAACCTCGTAAAATATTACCAGCACCAAATTGTCGACCACATCGACGAACTGAAGCAGAAACAAAAGCAATGTTTCCAAAACCTATTGAATTTGCTAGTTATTGACCAGTAACATATCTTGATGGTGGTAAAAGGTAAATATTTTTTTTTATTTTTGTATAAAAATTTATTTTTATCATTTTTAGATATGAATGTCTTGTACTTCCCACGGAAAAATTTTTATACGAAAACCGCGGTTTTATCGCACTCCACCGCGGTGTCAATTCGATAACCGCTGAAAACCGCGGTTCACAGCGGTTTTTTGCACCGCATCCACGAAAAACCGCGGTGTGTGCACTCGTAACCGCGGTTTCAAATATGGCGGTTATTAGAGGTTTTATAAACTGCGCTTTACTGCATCATAACCGCGGTTTCAAATATAGCGGTTATCACCGGTTTCATAAACCGCGGTTTACTGTATCATAACGGCGGTTTCCAATATAGTGGTTATCACCGGTTTCATAAACCGCGGTTTACTGGATCGTAACCGCGATTTCCGATATAGCGGTTATCACCGGTTTCATAAACCGTGGTTTACTGTATCGTAACCGCGATTTCCAATATAGCGGTTATCACCGGTTT